TTTTGCCTCTCTAGGATATATTCCCAGGAGTGGTATTGCTGGGTCAAATGGGAGATCAAATTCTAATTTTTTGAGAATCGTCCATACTGTTTTCCAAAAGGGTTGGACCAGTCGGCATTCCTACCAGCAGTGAAAGAGGGTCCCTTTCTAGTCACATTTGCGCCAGCACCGTTGCTTTTGTTTTTGTGGATGTGGGCCAGTCTCTGTGGTGTAAAATTGTTGTTTTGATCTGCATCTCTCTGATGATTAGTGATGTAGAGCATTTTCTCATGTGCCTTTTTGCCATTCGGATTTCTTCTTTGCGAAAGTTTCTGTTCATTTTCTCACCCCATTTTTTGATGGGGTTGGGTGCTTTCTTCTTGTGGAGTTCAACCAGTACCTTATATATCCTTGATCTCAACCCCTTGTCAGATGTGTATTTGGTGAATATCCTTTCCCATTCTGTAGACTGTCTTTGTATTTTGGTCACTGTTTCTTTTGAGGTACAGAAGCTTCTTAGTTTAAGATAGTCCCATTTGTCTATCTCTGTTTTCACTTGCTTGACCAGTGGCGTGACATCTTTGAAGATATCATTAGCTTCAATATCTTGGAGGGTTGGGCTGGAGCGATAGCACAGCAGTAGGGTGTTTGCCTTACAAGCGGCCAACATGGCCGACCCGAGTTCGATTCCTCCGCCCCTCTCAGAGAGAGCCTGGCAAGCTACCCGCGACGTATTCGATATGCCAAACACAGTAACAACAGTCTCATGATGGAGACGTTACTGGGACCGCTCCAGCAAATTGATGAACAATGGGAGGACCGTGATCCGTGATCCATGATCATGGAGGGTTTTGCCAACTTTGTCTTCAATTAACTTTATGGATTCCGGTCTTATGTTGAGGTCATAAATCCATTTTGATCTTACTTTTGTGCATGGCGTTAGGCAGAGATCTGAGCCCACTTTTTTGCATGTAGCTGTCCAGTTTTGCCAGCACAATTTATTAAAGAGGCTTTCCCTGATCCATTTCACTTTTATTGCCCCCTTATCGAAGATTAGATGATCATATGCTTGGGAGGAGATGTCAGTATATTCAACTCTGTTCCATTGGTCTGCAGCTCTGCTTTGTTACAGTACCATGCTGTTTTAATTATTACTGCTTTGTAGTAGAGCTTGAAGTTAGGTAAGTTGATTCCTCCCATTATCTTTTTCCCAAGAATTGCTTTAGCTATTCGTGGGGGCTTATTGTTCCATATAAATTTCAAGAGTGTTTGCTCCATTTCTTTGAAGAATGTCATGGGTATCCTTATAGGGATCGCATTGAATTTGTACAGTGCTTTGGGAAGTATTGCCATTTTGACAATGTTGATTCTCCCCATCCATGAACAGGGGATATTTTTCCATTTCCTCGTGTCCTCTTTTATTTCCTGAAGTAGAGTTTTGTAGTTTTCTTTGTACAGGTCCTTTACTTCCTTAGTTAAGCTGATTCCCAGGTACTTGATTTTCTGGGGCACAATTGTGAATGGGATTGTTTTCTTCATGTCACTTTCTTCTCTTTCACTATTTGCATATAGGAAAGCCATGGATTTTTGGGTATTGATCATAATCTGCTTTAAAGATAGATTTTAGTTTCTAACAATAATGAGGTATATAGTTTTGATCCACTCTTTACAAATGTCTATTTAAGATACTAGAACACAGAAATAAAAAAGATCATTGGAAGGAACTGCATTGTCACTTCATTGTCTCCCAACAACAGTCAGGAGTGATCTCTGAGACACACTGGGCAAGGTCCCACTGCACCCCCCCCCCACAAAAAAAATAACTGTTTGGAAACACTATAGGATTATCAAAGCATTTGGAACCAAATATAAAAATACAAAGGAGTGTGATATTTGTGTTTTCTCTTTAAAAGGTATCTGCCTATTCTAGGAAGATGCAGGAAACTGGGGAAAATTTGTTTAGCTGATGAAACTATCTATAATCTTATATATACCACAATGGAAAAGCCCTGATTAATACTTCTGGTTTGTGTTGGAATCCTGAAAACCTACACCCAAAGAATAAGGATGAACCACAGCAGATCAAACTTCACAGATGCCAAAGATCAACTTCAAAAACAGTTTAACCCTGACTGGAAAATAATGTTCTGAAACTGCTAGTGTCCCCATCCCCTACTAGAAAAAAAAAAGTCTTCTGTAAAATCAGATATTAGTCCTAGGGATCAAACAATCTCCAAATTTTTTTATCTGTAATTATCTAATACTCAACCAAAAATAAACAACTATGTGAAGAAACACAGAGCCATACTTGAAAACCAAAAAAATAAATAAATAAAGGGCAGTGACAGTTCCACAGGGAACTTAACTGATACAGTATTTTAAAAAACATACTTCACATGCTCGAGGGCAAATATTTTTCTAAAGAGTCTTATCTTTAAAAAGAAAAAAGAATCCATTATTGAAAAATTCTGTAATGTGATCAGTAATTCAATACATAGCTTTAATAGTAGATGAGTTGGATCTTAGAGAGAAATTAGAGAAAAGGTAGTTTAATTAATAAAGTTAGCAGCTTAAACTACTTTAATTGTTCATAGGGACTACTCAGAGTGAAACAAGGAGAGACTTAGGCATAGGAAATATAGAAGAAAGCATAAAAGGGTATACATGCTAAGAATTCTGAGTAATGAAAGAAAGACAGAATGACAAAAGAGATTCACTGTCACTGTATCACTGACATCCCGTTGTTCATCAATTTACTTGAGTGAGCGCCAGTAACATCTCCATTTGTCCTGGCCCTGAGATTTCAGCAGCCTCTCCTTACTCATCTTTCCCAATGCTGCCATATTGGAGGCTCTTTCGGGTCAGAGGAATAACACCCATTATTGTTACTGTTTTTGGCATATCGAATATGCCACGGGGAGCTTGCCAGGCTCTGCTGTGTGAACATGATACCCTTGGTAGCTTGCCAGGCTCTTCGAGGTATATATATATATATATACATATATATATTATATATAATATATATTATATATTTCCCTCCATGATTTGTTGCTTGTTTGAATATATATGAAGTATTTTATTGTTATATATAATACATAACTATATAATATAAATTACATATATACCAATTTTAAATATTTTTATATTTATGTACATGTATGTTTATAGTAAAACCTAGAGTATATTCTGACCCTAAGAATGGAGGATAATGAGCAGCAAACCATACCGGTCACCTTGGAGCCTTTTTTGGCCTTTAAACAGATCTGAATCCTTTTTACATTCTGGTGACTACTAGACTGACGGGACTTCGCTAATTCCAAATGCAATACTTATTTTTTCTCTGATATTATTGAATTGATGGGTGGGATCCAAGAACGTGACCAACCTTGTGAGTAATCACAGGTAAATGGAATGGCCTGCTGGGATGTGGGGAGCTTGGGGAGCTGACCCTTATTCCCAACAGTTGTCAAACATTTGATTCAAGGGGCCCCTTCCATCGTTTCAAACATATTTCTATGCACAGTAAGGTTCATTTAAACTGTTTCCAATAGGGGCCAAAGAGATAAGATAGCAGGTAGGACATTTGTCTTGCACCAGGTTTAACAGGGTCCCAGAGCATCACCAGGAGTAATCCCTCAATATTTCTGGGTGTGACTCAAAAAGATGTGAAAACAAGTTTAAAAATTAAAAAACAAACCATTTCACTCCATTAAAGAACCTTGCCAGTGCCACTTTCCTAAGATGAGACTTTAAAAATATTTATCCCGTGTACTTACACAATGCTAGGCTAACAATTTTCCAAAAGCAATAAAATTCTCTACCTACAATTTCAGAAAATACTATGAATCTCCAGCAGAATACATATAAAGAAATCATTACTAGGCATATAACACTGCTGGAAATCAAAACAAATACATTAGGCGCAAACAAGTTTAAGAATGGCCAAAGAGAACACCAGAGAGATAGCTTGAAGGGTTGAAGCACGTGACCTGCATTCATAAGGTCCTAAATGTAATCCCCAGTACAACTTGATCTCCAGAGCATGGAATGCGAAGGGGCTCCTTGTGCTTGCCTTGCTGACCCAGGTTTGCTGACCCTTGTGCTTGCATGGCTGACCCAGCAACCCAGATGGTCCCCCTAGCACTGCTGGGAGTGATTCCTGAGTGCAGAGCCAGGAGTAATGCCAGAGCATCTCTTAGTTGTGGCCCCAAAATAAACATCAAACAAACAAAGGAAATAATTTTTAAAAGAATGAAAAGACTAGGGTAGAGAAAGGTGAGGTTTTGAAGTTTGCCTGGCTAATCCTGGTTCAGTTTCTTTTTTTGGTGGGGGAGGGGGCACTTGAGGAGCTACACCAGCAGTGCTCAGGAGTTCCTACTGGCTCTGCAGTCAGGAATCAAACCCAGAGGGCTCAGGGGATCATATAGGATCTGGGTGTTGAACCTGGGTTGGCCACATGCAAGGCAAGCTCTCTGGACCTGCTGTACTATTACCCTGACTCCAGCCTTGGTTTAATTTCCCAGAATCACATGTGGTCCCCTGAGAACCGCCAGGTATATTCCTTGAGCACAGAGCCAGGAATAAGCCCTGAGCACAGCCAGGTATGACCCCAAAATAAACAATGGAACTAATGGGGCTAAGGAGATAGCTCAAAGGGCTGGAGCACATGTCTTGCATGCTTGAGGCCCCAAGTTCCATATCTGGCCTGCTGAGAATCACTAGTTGTCAACTGCCTGGCGTGTTTGGGCAAGTATTGCTGACAGTTGGTGAGCCTGGATCTTCTGAACCTAAATAAGTATTGCGTTTGGAATTAGCAAAGTCCCATCAGTCTAGTAGTCACCAGAATGTAAAAAGGATTCAGACCTGTTAAAAGGCAAAAAAAGGCTCCAAGTTTACCAGTATGGTTTGCTGCCCATTATCCTCCATTCTTAGGGTCAGAAATTCTCAGGACCACCTCCAGCCCCTATCCTGCCAAAATGTAAACACTGCAGATACAAAAGATAAGTGTCTTATCTGCTTACCTGACATTGGATTGCTTCTACTCGATAAGGGTTAAAACTCTTCTGGCATTTGCAACAGAGTTGTTTGAAATACACCTAAAGAGAAATTTGTCTTCTTTTAATGCAGGTTGATATGTACCCAAGGCTCCCAGTTCCTAATCCAAGGAATCCATTCCCTGACCTTTAACTCACTCTTTAACCCAGTGCTCTTACCCACTCTCTATCCTCAGCTCTGGTCTATCAATTACTTTTCTTACTCTTGGATTTCATGTGCCTCACCTGTAAAAAAATTTTTTACAGTTCTGAGAAATTGCCCAATAATTATAGAGTTCATAGTAAATTCTTCAAATGTGCAGTAATTGTTAATTTTACTCATTGCACCAGGTAGACCCTTGATCTTTAGTTCCAGACTATTAGCCCCTACATTTTCTTTTTCTTTTTTTTTTATTAGTGAGACAACATGAGGTACAGTTGCAGACTTACAAATTTTTGTGCTTGAGTTTCAATTATACAATGATCAAATACCCATCGCTCCACCAGCGCCCATTTCCCACCACCACAAATCCTAGTATCCCTCCCACCGCCCATCCCCCCATCCCACACTGCCTCTGTGGCAGGGCATTCCCTTTTGTTCTCTCTCTCTTATTGGGTGTTGTGGTTTGCAAAAGAGGCAATGGGTGACAATCATGTTTGGTCTATAGTCTACTTTCAGCATGCTTCTCCCATCCTGGGAGGATCCTCCCAACACCCTTTATTTGGTGCTCCCTTCTCTATCTGAGCTCCCTTTTCCCCAAGCATGTGTGGCTGGCCTCCAAGCCATGGAGCAAAATTCCTGGTACTAATCTCGGCCATTCTTGGGTGTTAGTCTCCTATTTTGTTACTTTATGTTCCCCAGATGAATGCAATCTTTCTATGTCTATCCCTTTCTTTCTGAGTCATTTCGCTTAACATGATACTTTCCATGTAGTACAACTTGTATGTAAATTTCATGACTTCGTCTTTTCTAACAGCTATGTAGTACTCCATTGTGTAAATGTACCAAAGCTTCTTTAACCAGTCATCTGTTCTGGGGCACTCAGGTTTTTTCCAGATTCTGGCTATTGTAAAGAGTGCTGCAATGAACAAACAATTGCAGATGTCCCTTCGACTACTTTTTTGCCTCTCTGGGATATATTTCCAGGAATGGTATTGCTGGGTCAAATGGGAGTTCAATTTCTGATTTTTTGAGAATCGTCCATACTGTTTTTCAAAAGGGCTGAACCAGTCGGCATTCCCACCAACAGTGAAGGAGAGTCCCTTTCTCGCCACATCCACGCCAGCACCGGTTGCTTTTGTTCTTTTGGATGTGGGCCAGTCTCTGTGGTGTGAAATGATATCTCATTTTTGTTTTGATCTTCATCTCCCTGATGATTAATGATGTGGAGCATTTTCTCATGTGCCTTTTAGCCATTCGGATTTCTTCTTTGTGAAAGTTTCTATTCATTTCATCTCCTCATTTTTTGATGGGGTTGGATGTTTTCTTTTTGTGGAGTTCAACCAGTACTTTGTATATCTTTGATATCAACCCCTTATCGGTTGTGTATTTAGCGAATATCCTTTCCCATTCTGTAGACTGTCTTTGTATTTTGGTCACTGTTTCGTTGGAGGTGCAGAAGCTTCTTAGTTTAAGATAGTCCCATTTGTCTATCTCTGTTTTCACTTGCTTTAGCCCCTACATTTTCAATTTTCAATATGCCCCTACCTCCTTGAACTTAAATTTCTCATTAACTACCAACTATTCACATGGTTTCTAGGACTCATGCATCATTCTCTACACATTTTCTCTCTGCCTTACTTGATCCTTGAATCCCTCTTCCTATTGATCCTTTAAAATCCTGAGGGAAGAGTGATAGTACAGTGGGTAGGGTGCTTGCCTTCCATGCGGCCAATCTGGATTCAATCCCTGACACTCCACATATTCAATCCCAAGCAACCTATATGGCCCCCCAAGTCCATCAGGAGTGATCCCTGACATTGCTGGGTGGGGCTCAAAAGCCCCCAAAAAATCATTTAAAAAAAAAAGATAAAATCTTGCTTGGATTATTTTTCTTCCTATGTTATTTTGTTATTTTTGCATCACTTCCATCCCATAGGTGTCACTGAATCTACCACTGAATTTCATTTCATCTATGTCACTTATGTCAGAATATATTTCTTGAGGATGAGTTTTGTGTGTTGTCTTCATATCCCAGTGTCTTAGATTAAATCCACTGGACTTTTTCTTTATGACAAAAAAGGAGAATAATTTTAAACATAGCTTAGAAGTCTGACATAGATCAGGAATATAGCTAGCACATATCTATATCTACATAAATATATTACATATCTATATAGATGTATCTATATGTAAATATATAGATATAAAGATATGTGCGTGTGTTTGTGTATATGTATATACATATATGATGCTTCAGGTTCAATTCCCATGCTCCTCAAACAAACAACAAAAACCTATTTATTTGCCTCCAAGGTCTAGCCTAAATGTCAAGGTTTCATTCAGATCTTAGCATGGGATTTTTGCCCTCTGCCTTTGGCCAGAAAAGTATTTTCTAAAAGGTAATGACACAGGGAATTCAAATTTAAGCACTTGTGCTTATAGAAGTTAACGAACTATGGGCTGTTCATTTAACATACATGGGGGTTAAGGCCCACGCCTTGCAATGCAGTAACCCTAGTACAATCCCTGGCACCGCTTATTCCACATTGCTGGGTGTGGCCCTAAAGATCCCCTGCACGTAGGAACTGATCCAGGAGGGGCCCCTGGGCCTCCTGATCACCACATGGAAGACCAAAAACAAAACCAAAAACAAACAAAAAACATGAGCTAGATTGGAGGTGTAATACAAAGAAATTGCCATGCTCCGTGAAAGGAGACGGATACTCAAATGATCATGTACAATGACCTTGTTCAAGAAAACTTGGAAATGCAAAATGTAATGTAAACTCTTCTCCCATTTGAATACAGTGATAACTCAAATTAACCTGGAGACTTAAAATTAAGTCTCTGGTTGATTAAAGTTTACAGTGAATTCTTGCTCCACCTTGTGGACAGACTGGAAATCTAACCTGATCCCAGTCAAAATACGCCAACTGCAAAAGTGATAATGGAAAGTCTTTTATGCAAGAGTTCATCGACATAAACTGACAGTTTGTCCAAAAGGACTACCAGACACCAAGATATGGTCCAGAAGCCGAGGAGCTCAGTGGGTCGACTATTTCAGTCAGATTCAAACACTTCCAGAGCACCCGTGATATGCCTGGCTCTGAGAATGCAAAGCTGAATGTGACAGTCTTATGCTCATGCACTACTGGGAAACATTTTCCCTCCACTTAACATCTACACCTATTCCCATGTCCCACCCATTTGTTCTTACCTTCTTGGTTCCAGCTATGCACCACACATAAGCACTCTCCCATCTGGTCTTACAATCTTTAAGTGAAAATAGCCATATTTTGGTTCCAAAAACTGCAAGTGGACGCAGGAGAGAAAGAAAGGGACGTCATTAAGCATGATGAGGGTGTAGGGGTAAGGGAAAGAGGCTTGGATTATGTTTTTCTTCTTGCCTATACAAGTAAGACAAAAATAAAAACTCTCCTTAAGCTCGGTCATACCTATTCTCAAGGTCACTACACTGACTTAACATCTTATCTCTCAAGCGTTCATCTGTGCCTCTTGCTGTCTCTCCTATCCTTCCCCTCCATTTTCCACCATATCACAATCACAGTCTTCACAACACAAAAACCTGAATACACATTTCACATGCACGAAAACTTGCAATGCAGTGACCCTAGACTTTTGGTGTTTAAAGGTTGAGAGTTGGCATCTTATCTTACAGGGAAGGTAGGGAGAGTCACAAAACACAGGGCATGTAAAATAATCTTTTAGGACGTCTTCCCTTTCAACAAAGAGAAGAAGCAAGCAAAGATTTCACTTTTATTGCCTCAAAAAGAGACAAGAGGATGGAGAGGGAAAGGAAGTTCACCTGGAAGTTGGATCTTCCAAGACGCTGGGAGGCATCTCCTTGTGGCTGCTCGCTCTTCCATTCTGGAGACCCCTTGGCATCTTCCTCCCCCATTTTATTCCAATACCAGAGTTGCTCCTGCTGGTCTTCTTCCGCCCTTGGCACTGATGACTGCTGCTGTTTGCTTTCTGCAGGACCTGGAAGCACCTTCTTCTCTCTGCTGTCCTCATTCTTCCACCGCTTGAATAAGTTCCTGTGGCTGATGGTCTGGCAACAGACCCTCCAGGATGGCAGGGGCGTCTTCTGATTCCAGCCACTGTGTGAGTTGCGAGGCCCCAACAAGCACTGTACAGCTTTGCCCACTCGAGGACTCACCTGCACTCCCATCTCCTTGGTGTTGGTTTTGCCCAGCAGCAGGTTGAGGTTGGGGTTCATCTGGGAAAGTATAGCCCTACACTGCACCCTCCTGTAAGGGTCCACATAGTAGTGAGGGAATATTCGCAGGCACCAAAAGCCCTGTTCTGGCCAGGAAAGTGGAGGGACCCATGTTTTGCCTCCAGTCAGGCTGGAATCCAGGCTGGCCCAAAGGTATCAGGTCTCCATATCCTGGGTACAAACGATAGGGAACACAGGCAAAGCGCTCCATCTGGCCACCAGGAACCCAAGCACAGCGCAGTATCCAAGCCCAGCCCGCGTCCTGACTAGGCTTGGTTCAGGCCTATCTTCAAGCTTCTCTATTTATTTCAGGTTCTGATGGGAGCTGCTGCTGATTACCCTAATTGAAGGACATCCATCTGCCTACTTGCTGAAGCCTCGTTCCACTTGCTTCCTAACTGCTTTCTCCGTGCTACTCACGTTAACCGGGGGACTTAAAAATTCACTGTTCCTGAGTCTTTTCCAAGGCTGTTTTTCATTTCTCACTTCTTATTCCCACGCACAAGCTTTACTTAACAATCCATTGCTTTTCATATTTGAGATTCTAACCAATTCTAGGATTTGTAAAACAGAGAGTCAATCACAGACAACTAGTACATTATTTGGGCAGCTACACTAGAAGAATAAGAAAGAATGTTGTGGAAAGTTCACGGTCCTCCCGTTGTTCATCGATTTGCTCGAGCGGGCCCAGTAATGTCTCCATCATGAGACTTGTTGTTACTGTGTTTGGCATATCGAATACGTCATGGGTAGCTTGCCAGGCTCTGCCGTGCGGGCGAGATACTCTCGGTAGCTTGCCAGGCTCTCTGAGAGGGGCGGAGGAATCGAACTCGAGTCGGCCATGTTGGCCGCTTTTAAGGCAAATGCCCTACCACTGTGTTATAGCTCCAGCCCATGGAAAGTTAATGAACGGAAATGATTGTACCACAGGAACAAAGAATATCAGGTGGTGCATGGGCTGTTGGGGAGGAAGTTGTGTATAAAAAAACAATATATTTCAGAGAATTATATGACATGATAACGGTTCTCATTAGTTCACTAATTTACATTCACAAATCATTAGTTCTCTGCTCTGTGAGGTTCCTCCCCTCAGGAGTTTGGGAAGTGGATTGATTTAGAAGGTAAATGTAGATTTAATCACAGATACCTAAGATATTTATGAAATCAAATACAGTAGAATTAAAATCCATTTCTCACAATATGAACCAATTATAAGGTTATAATAAAATTAAACATGCTATTGCTTATAAAGCACAAATCAGAACCAGCCAAAAATGTTCTGTATATGATAGTTTTCAAGGAAGAATGGAGAAAGGATCCTAGATAATCATAAGACTTGACATCCATCTGTAATGGTTTCCTGCTACAGATTAAGGATTATTGATTATCGAGCTAAAACAACACCTGGTGAACAGAGTGGAATTCACATTTTTATCTAATCCTATCTTGTTTCCACTGTTCAGTTTAAGAGCAGTTTGGTGTCTGAGAAATAATACAAAGATAAGACCTTGCCTTGCCTGCCCAACTTGGGTTTGATCCAAGTTGTATGACCATAGTATGATGGCCACCTACCCCAGCATTGCTTAGGGGCACTCCTGAAGTAGAGCTGTGAGCCAGAAAGAGCCCCTGAATGCCATAGGTGTGATCCAACACTCTGCCGCCCCCTTCCCTCCGATCCTTCTGGTACTGATGAGCCCATCCAAGACACTAGAATTACTTTTCTCACTTTATCTCTAGATAAAGGGAGAGATGTGGCACTGACAAGGTAATGCAATGATGAGAATATGGCACTATATCGCCGGTGCTATGTAATGCACAAAATATTGGATTACTTGGATATATTTATTTGGATTTCAACCTATGCCTTAAACAGTTAACTGTAAGTCCAGATTTCATTTTTGTGTTTTTATCTTTTTAGTGACTTTTGAAAAAAGTGGTGGAGGAGGGCAGCAGGTCAATTCTGGAAGGAGCAAAGGTCTGTGGTCAGTTCTGGTCAGTTCCTGAATCCTGTGCAGAATTTTCTAGGTCATGAAAAAACGCAAATTTTGAACAGTGTTAGGCAAGTGTCGTTCCCAATGTTCTCCCTTCCGAAATCCAACATGCCATCTCGTCGGTAAAGAAACAAAGAGCACCTGGTCCAGACAAGATCAGACCTGAACACCTGAAGAATTTACCATCAGTACTCATCAATACATTGGCTCGACTCTTCACATGCTACCTGTCTGAATGCAAGGTTCCATCCCAATGGAAAACCAGCAGGACTGTACTACTATACAAGGAGACATCCACGACATTGGCAACTATCGCCCAATCTGCCTATTGTCTGTCATCTACAAACTATTCACTCGAGTCATCCTGAATAGGATTAGCAGAACACTAGATGAAGGACAACCATGTGAACAAGCTGGATTCCGAAAAGGATTCAGTACCATCGACCATATCCACACAGTAACCAAGCTCATTGAGGTATCTCGGGAGTTCAAGATGCCACTCTGTCTAACATTCATTGATTTAAAGAAGGCCTTTGATTCTGTTGAGATGGAAGCGGTCATGGAAGCCCTAGCCAATCAGGGCGTACAAACTCAATACATCAGGATCCTTCGTGAGCTCTATTGCGGATTCACTACCAAGATCTCACCATTCTACAAAGAAGTAATCATCCATATCAAGAGAGGGGTTCGGCAGGGTGATACCATTTCACCAAAACTCTTCAGTGCCACCCTCAAGAACATCATGCGACGACTGGAATGGGAAAATATGGGAGTGAAGATAGATGGTCGGCAACTACACCACCTCCGCTTTGCTGATGACATCGTTCTAATAACACCAAACATCAGCCAAGTGGCACAAATGCTGAACGACTTTGACCGTGAATGTGGAAAGGTAGGACTACAGCTGAATCTTACGAAGACAATGTTTATGAGAAACAGCCTTGTTCCTGACGCTCCATTCGCTCTCAACGGAACCACCATCTCCGAATACAACAGTTATATATACCTAGGTCGAGAAATCAACATGATGAATGACCTGGCACCTAAGTTGCACAGGAGGAAGAGAGCGGCTTGGAATGCCTTCAAGAGCATTGAAGAAATAACTAAAAGGACAAAGAACCTCCAGCTACGAGCACATCTCTTTGATTCCACTATTCTTCCTGCATTAACATATGCCTCAGAGACCTGGACCCTACAAAAACAGGATGAGAACGCTATTCGGGTCTCTCAAAGAGGAATCGAAAGAACTATGCTTGGAATATCACGATTCACTCAAATGAGAGACAGAATCCGGAGTTCTGATCTCCGTCAATGCTCAAGAATCAGGGATGCTGTCTCATTTGCCAAGACATCAAAAATCAGATGGGCTGGACACGTAATGAGGTTTACAGACAACCACTGGACTAGAGCCATTACTGATTGGATTCCACGGGACATCAAAAGATCATGTGGACGCCCACCTATAAGATGGTCAGACTTCTTCGTCAAGACCCTAAATGATCGGTTTGAGGCTCTGCATGTTCCTAGAACGAACAGATACCATTGGGCTACGCTAGCACGCAACCGGGATGAATGGAGATGTTACTGGCACCCGCTCGAATAAATCGATGAATAACGGGGATTAAGTGATTAAGTGATAAGTGATAAGTTAGGCAAGTTACAGTCCTTGCTTTCCAGGCTATCTCTCAGGCTGAACTGATAAAACGATGAACTGGGAGACGGCAAACGGCAGAAGAGAGTGTCACACAACTGCACCATTTCTCAAGCAGGGAAAAAGACTCAGGTTTTGGGAATTTGCTAGAGAAACATGCAAGCCAGCCCGGAACGTCCTCTGACTCCCAATCTACTCTGTAAGGACCATCCGGCTGGGCAAGAAGCAGTCTAGCCCCCGGCCAAGGATCCCCTCTGGGATGTCTAAAGTCGGCCCGTTTTCAGGGGCGCGCCGCAGACCCCGGGGCCACGTGCGGAACGGGATGAGCCAAAGAAGGGCCGAGTCGGGGAGTATACACGAGGAGGGGCTTTTCCTGCAGAGACCGAGGCCTCGGGGCTGCAGATCCTCGGGGGAGCGAGAAGCAGCGCGCCCGCTCCCGCTCCTCCCGAAGGCCGCCAGGACGAGCCGCGCGGGGCACGAGCACCCGGCCTCGGTGACAGCGCCGGGGGGCGGCGGAGGCGCGGCGAGGCCCGGACTTCCGGGTGGAGCGCGCGCTGCGTCTGACGTCACGGCGTCCTCGCGAGACGTGGGCGAGCGGGCTTTTGGCGCGAGTGTCCGAAAGGAGCGGGCGGGGCTGGCCGGGGAGCGGCTGCCGCGGGCCGCGGGGGTCGCTGGTGTCTGGCGGAGCCGCGGCCCTTTCCCCGCCTCCCGAGGCCTGACGAGCGCTGCGCTCCCGGAGGCGGTTAGTGCGGCTGGGGTGGGAGGAGCCCGCGTCCCGCCTCTCCCGGGGGTCTTGCGCTCCGCGGGGACCCCCGGCACGGAGACCCCCGAGACCCGCCCTTCCGGCCCGGGCCGCTTCCTTGCCGCCCTGCGGGCCCCGGAGCTGACCCGGCAGCCCCGCGGCTGTTTCCTCCCGGGAGGCGAGATTCGCTTTTCCTCAGGTGCCGTCGCTGCTCTCTGCGGAAGCGTCTCGCAGCCTGCGGCTCCCTCGCTCGGCCTCCCTCGACCCGGGTGGGGGCCGCTGCCCCCAGATGCGCGACGGGCACCAGGAGGAGGTGGTGGGCGGCAGCGACGGCAGTGGCGGCGCGGCCACTGGCCACGCGCGCGACAGGTTCGCAGAATCCACCGCGGACGCGCCTTGGAGCTGGTCGCTCCTCCTGGCTGACAGCGCGAGTGCAAAATGTGTCCGTTGCTGTGGGTCCAGAGAAGACCGGGGTCTCGGGGACGGCGTAACTTGAGACGCGGCTTCACCGCTCGCGAGTTTTACCTCAGGCACGGAGAGGACCAAAAGCTGCAGCCTTGTGAAGTGGTTTTTTTTTTTTTTGGTTGTTTACTCTGTTTCAGGCTCGTTTACCAGAGGGCTCAGAGTGACGTGAGAGGTGAAAATGCCTCTTGGATGCAAAGAGAGGCCAACGTTTTGGGAAGTTTTTCAGACGCGATGCAACCCAGCAGGTATCGGCAAGTTATGTGTGGATTGATCCGTTGCACTGAGCAGATGTTTTCAAGATATGTAAATCCCATTCATACTTGCAGAAAACAACCCAGAGTTTCATGCTTTTGCTTCCGTCG